GGTTTGGGGCAGCGGGGTGCTGTGTGTGTGCACACCAAGTATGCACTTTTGCCAGGGCTTCCATCTCTTGCCTGTAAACCTTCACTGGCTTTGGTGGTCCTCAAGATATTCCAGATGCCCTACTGAGGCCCTCAAGCCCCTCGTGGTCTGGCCCCTGCTGACATGGACAGTTTCACTTCTGGCCACTCCCCAGTGTTCGCATTCTGTGGCTCAGCCACGCTGCACTCCCTTCGCTTCCTCCCTGAGGCCTCGCTGTCCTCCTAGCCCAGGCGCTGGCCTCTCTCCCAGAGATGTGCTCCCGCACCCCTGCTCACTCACCACCCAGGGCGTTGTGTGACATGGGAGCTAGAGTGGGCACCTCCTCTCTTCCTCCAGGCTCAGCAAGAGCAGTATGTCCCCCAGGATTGGAGCCCCTCATGGGAACTCTCCTGGTGCCCCTGCATTGACATCCTGGCCTGTTCAAGCTGTATCTGCACTTGTCCCCAGATTATAACCCATCCCTCTTGAGGGCAGGATCATTCCCCTAGTGTTCACGGCTAATAGCTGCTGCACATGGCACCGGGCCTGGAATGGAATAGGTGCTCAGTAAAGGTTTGTTAAATGAACAAATGAACGAACGAGTGAATGAATGAATGAATGAATGAATGCCATCCCAAACCACTGCAGTGGTCTTCATTTCCNGTGAATGCACGAACGAACGAATGAATGAGTGAATGAATGAATGAATGAATGCCATCCCAAACCACTGCAGTGGTCTTCATTTCCTCCTTCTCTGAATCCTAAAACTCTCCCTCTCAGTGTCTTCACGACCCCAAATATGAAAGAATCTCTCTTTTTCGTTTTGTTTTTATTGTTGTCATTAATTTTTATTTGTCTTATCTTCCCAATTAGACAATAAGTTCTGGAAGAAAAGGGCAGTGTCAATAATAATAATGACAGCAGCAGCAGCTGACATTTATTGAGCACTCACCGGGTTCCAGGAACTGATCTATGCCTTTGCCTATATTAGCCCAAAGGTGATGTTAATTATCACAAAAACCCTATGATTTACTATTATCCCAACTTAATTGAGTGGTGGTTCTCAGACTTGAGTGTGTAGCGGGATCCTCTGGAGGACTTGTTAAAAACACAGCTTTCTGGGCCCTACCCCCAGACTTTCTGATGTAGAATTTGCATTTCTGACAAGTTCCCAGGTGGTGCTGATGCTGCTGTGCCCAAGCCAGACTTTGAGAAGCCTGTTCTAGAAGGTTATTATTGGCCCTTTGTGTGGTTGAGGCAACTGAGGCTCAGAGAAGTCCTGTGACCTTCCCAGGGTCCCTCAGCTAGTGAGCGCTGGCACTGCGGCTCCCTCCCGCTGTCCTGACATTGAAGCTCATGCTCTTTATCTGCGCCCAGGCCTCTCACAGCCTGTTTCTTCTTCCCCGGAGAAGTCAGCTGTTTTCTGCCTGTTTTTTATTTTTCCATCATAAGCCTACCCAGGAAGCCAGGAGATGGCTTGCTTCCTTTCATCTCTCTAAACCAAAGCGATAGGAGCAAGTGGTAATGGTGGTTTCCCATGTAGCAGCTGCTTCTGCTGGGCTGGCTGGGATCAGACGCTTTCCAGAGGATGTTGGCATGAGCATCACTGAGCGCTGCAGGGAGGGCGCCAATGGGGATGCCTCCGCTTTGAGCTCAAAGGGCCCCTCTGGCTGCAGAGCCGGCGGAGGGACTGGCTATGTCCAACTGCCTGGGTTAGGAACGTACAGGCAGATCACTGTCTGTAATCTTCCCCAGCTCAGACAGCGGCAAAATGTGTCTACTCTCTTAATTGGGCACTGGGGTTCATTCGGTTGGCCATTTGTTCACTCGTCAGACATTCACTGCGTTTATCCTTGGAATATTTAGGGCTTTCCTGATCCTTTCATTTATTCAGCTGATTGAGCCCAGCTCAGTGCCAGGCCTTAAACTGGGGACTGCAAAGGGGAGCAAAAAAGACACTAGCCCCAGTGTCATGGCACTTGTGATCTGATGGGACAGATGTTCATTCATTCATTCATTCATTCCTCAAATATTTACAGCATGCTAACAGTGCGCCAGCCCGTTACTAGGTGTCAGGGCTCCAGCGGCGAAACAGATGGGCCTAGTCCCTGCCCGCGTGGAGACCATGGTCCACTGGGAGGCAGGCAACCAAACAAGCCAGGAGGTTAATACACAGCATGATGCAAGTGCTGACTAAATAAAATAAAGCTGGGCACAGAGCAGAGCAGGTGGGATGTTGGCAGGTGATCAGGGAAGGCTTCTCTGAGGAGGTGACATTTAGAAGATAGCTGAAGGATGAGAAGGCACCAGCCATGGGGCTGTCTGGGGTCCTAGTGGACCGGTGGACCAGGCAGAGGAAACAGCCAGTGCCAAGACCCCAAGGCAGGAGCAGTTGGAGATGACTGTGACCGTGGAGGAGGCCAGGGCAGCTGGAGTGGAGTGAGTCAGGGGGAGAGAGGTGGGAGACTAGGGGCAGGTCATGCGGGCCTCGCCGGTCAGGATACAGAGATGGACTTCACTGTGTTGGGGGAAGGGGTTGAGGGGCTTGAGCAGAAAAATGATACGACATCATTTATGCATTTTACACGTGGAGAATGGTATGTAGGGTGCAGGAATAGAAGCAGGAACACAGGGAGGAGGCACCTCAGGAATCTAGGGAGCTGGGATGATAGAGGTGATGGAGCAGTTGGGTTTGCTATGTATTTGGGGGGCAGAGTAAACAAGCCTTGTAGTAGATCAGACATGGGTTGTAAAGGAGGAGAGAGGAGACTTGGGGATGGCTCCCACTTCTTTAGCCCGAGCACAGGGATGAGTAATAGCAGTACCACTCCCTGAGAAAGGAGAGACCAGAGAAGAGACAGACACATAAAAAACAGATAATTTCTTCCTATCTGAAATATTGCTCTGAAAGAAAGGAGGCCAGTGTTCTGAGAAAGGAGTTGGGGGATCCAATGAAGGTTTCCCGGAGAAAGGACTATTTGAAACAGGTTCTGAGGGAAGAGGAGAGAACTAGATGAAGAGGCAAGGAAGGCTGAGTGTGCAAAGGCCCTGGGGCAGTCTGACTAGCATTCATTCCAAGTCACTTTTGAGCACTTTTTGATCACCCATATGGTAAGGAAGCCTGACAGACAGACAGACAGACACATAAACCAGATGGGAAAATATATAAGGAGGCTTGAAATTGTCATGCAGGTTCAGCTCAGCCAGGTTATCACTCTCAGAGAAGCCTCCCCAAGGACATGATGCCACAGTTGAGTCTTGAATGATACATAAGTTAACCAAGGAAAAAGTGGTCCAGAGGGTCTGTTGCTGCTGACACAGACACTGTGTCGTATCAAGTAGTCCTCTAGAAATATTTGGTGGGTGGATAAGTGGGGAAAACAGAGACAGGGGAATGAATGAGTCTGGGGGATGTGGTCAGTAGGGGCCAACATGGGGCTTACAAGCAGGGTGAAGAGTTGGACTTGAACCAGAGGCATTGGGAACTCCAAAGGGTTGGAAGCAGGTGGGATGTGGCTAGATCTGCATGATCTTCCTTACCAGACTGTCCCTGCTCCCAGAGGGTCGTTTTTGTGGCCACTTTGGGTCCATCATGCCCCACAACTGCTTTCTGAGCCAAGCACCCATGCCAAATCCATTAATAACCCTGCTGCCAAGCCCCATTGCTCACTTCTGACATTATCCAGGCTAACGTTGCAGAGTTGTGGCTTGAGAATTTATACAACTCCTGCAGAACCAGTGGCTCTGGTTCGCTCACCACCTTGCTGTGACCCTGCAGCGAGTCAAGCCATGGCCTCCAATTATAGAATCAAGTGCATGAATGGCTGCTTTGATTAACCCGGACATTTGATCCTTCCCTCTTCTTTTCTTTTTTTTAAACCCTCACCAAGGATATTTTTTTCCATTGCTTTTCAGAGAGAGTGGAAGGNCCTTCCCTCTTCTTTTCTTTTTTTCTTCTTTTTTTTAAACCCTCACCAAGGATATTTTTTTCCATTGCTTTTCAGAGAGAGTGGAAGGGAGGGAGAGAGAAAGAGAGAGAGATCGATGTGAAAGAGACACATCGATGGGTTGCCTCCTGCAAGTGCCCCAACCAGGGCTGGGGATCGAGCCTGTGTCCCAGGTCCCTGCCCTTGGCCGGAATCGAACCTGGGACCCTTCAGTCCGTGGGCCAACACTCTAACCACTGAGCCAAACTGGCTAGGGCCCCTCTTGTTTTCTTAATGATAACACCTAGATGTGTATGATATAGAACAGTTGGAGAATATGGGAAACTAAAAGGAAGAAAAAATACCACCCAAAGACCACTGCTATTAGCATTTTACTGTTTCCTTCCAGTGTTATCCACACATTTTTCATAATCGAGATCATTCCACTGAGAATTTTGTTTTTTTCACTTATCTTTTAATGTAATCATTTGTAATAAAAAAAGAAACCTCTTCATAAACCTTTTAAGTCTTTATCTACGATTCTATACTAATTTCCTTAACCAGTCCCCACTGGCAGAGCTGTTAGATGCAGACCGCCCTCCCCCACCCTTCCTTGAGCCAGTGCCTCTGTGCATAAAGCTTTTTCTGTATTTTGATTCCCCCACCAATGCAATTATGAGTCAAAAGATGAGGACACCTCCCAAGTTCTTAAGATTTGGCTAACAAAGCTGCTTCCCAAAAGGGTTGCACTGGGTTGCCCCCCCACCCGCAATATATGAAGATGCCAGTTTCACCATATCTTCCCCAGCACCGAGTATTCTAATTTTCAAAGATCCTTGCCGATAGAGTAGCTTAAAAAAATTGCTTGAAATTCCTTTTCTGTGAGACTGACCCATTTGTCCAAACATTTGATAAGCAGTTGTATTTCTGTTGTGAACCGCGCATCCATGTCCTCCACCCACATAGGAAGTAGAACCTCAATGTTATTCTTATCAATTTACATGAGCGCTTGAGATAGGGAGGATATTTTTATCTGTGTGTCTCTTTCCTTTTTAGGCTGCATGAGCCCGAGAAGAATGCCAGAGAAGTAACCCAGGTACAGTCCTTGGTGAGGTGCCCTTCCTGGGAAACTCGATGGTGTGATTTTCTTACACCAGCTGGAGCTGCAGATTCTGCTCTAAATTAAGACTCCTTTCCCAGGCTGGAAGGGCTCGGGGAGGGGGGGGTGGAGGTTCTTTACATTCTCGTTTCCCCCGGTTCTCTGCACATTCTCTCCCTCTGCTCCAGCCAGATGCCTGTCTCCACCTCCTTGGCTCAGTGCCGCCCGTTGCACAACTCCAGGGGGCGCCCTTCACAATGTGCGCAGCCTTCCTTCAGGTGGACGGTGCCATCCTGCCTGCGTGCATTTGCCCAGGCCAGTCCGTCCAGCGGGAACACCCTGCCCAGCTCACTCTTAGCTCCGCCTTGTGCCTCTCCCACAGAGGAACATGGCGCTGCCAGCATCTGTCTTTCTGACGGAAAGACCTTGTGTCATTAATTCCTCCAGCTGGCAGCGCCTCCTCACCATTGCCGAGGAGATGGCACAGGCAGCATGGTTGGCCTGTTTCCGAGGAGCCCAGCCTTGCTCCTTCCCGCTGCTGCTGTCAGACCTCGGAGGCAGAGGGCTCCCCTGTGTCTTGTAACAAGACAGGCCCTGCCCTGAACCTGGAACAAGAGAACGCCAGCTGTCCTTGACATTTCCCTGGCTGTTGTCATCGCTTTAGATGTAATCTGTTGAAGAGACTCAGGGCTGGTAGCAGACATGATGTTTGTAGGCCACAATGTTGTGTCCTGCTCTCCTGACCCAGTGCGGCCCCCCATGGCCCTGGGCATGAGCTCAGGTGGTGATTAGAAAAACATGACAATTTCCAATTGTGGGAGAGGGGACATTCTCCCCAGTCATTTTACCTGTGGACTTCTTTCTGGAACCTTCCAGGGAAAGAATGATGGTGAAAGAACTGATCACTGAAACCTATACCAAATTCAGTTAGCAAAGGCTTGCCGAGCACCTACTATGTGCCAGCCCAGCTCTTGTGGCACTTGCAGCCTGGTGTCTGGGATTCTTGGTACCAGGTGCCAGCCCTTGCCAGGGAGGGCATTTCATGCTGTTGGTGTGGGTTTCCTAGAGAGAAGTGTGACCGTGCAGAGTTGGGACAGAGGAGCTGTGGTCAGACCACAGCTTTAGGATTCAACAGACTTTAGATCTTCTTCAGCTGTGTGACTTTGACCAAATTATTTAACCTTCCTGGGTCTTAGTAAACCTGTAAACCGGGGTACATCATTCCAACCAAGCAGGGTTGTGACAGGGCCTGAATAAGGTGATCCAGGTGACAGCATGGTGCTGATAGCCGTCAGGGACTGAGACCTGGGGTTGTCATGCAGCAACCAGGAGTTACCCTTGCGGGCAGCTCCTCTCTGCTTCTGCACCATAGGTGCCAGACACAGAAGAAGCAAAGTTCATCGTTCCTGGTGGGTAATTTTAGGGCACAGTTGGTGGTGAGATTAGCACGTGGGAGAGAGATGTTCAGGTTTGCTGGATGGCTGATAATTTCAACTATTATTGAACATACGTGCTCATTCAGTGCATGCCAGGCTCCATTCTAAGAGTGTTACCTGAAGGATCTCACCTGGTCCTCACAGTGACCCTGGTGATAGATACGATTATTATACCCACTTTACAGATGGGGAAGCTGAGGCCCAGAAAGATGCCATGAATTGCCCAAAGCCTCTCAGCTAGAGAGAACAGAACCAGGATTAAACTTCAGGCTTCTGACTGCAGAACCTTTACCACCCTTCTAACAGGCCTCATTCGCTCATGCCCTTGTTCTGTCTCCCAGTGCCCACCTTCACCCTGAGGCTGAAGTTGTTGCCATTCATTCATTCATTTGGCCAACACCAGTCAGGCTTCTTCTGTATCAGCCTTGGTTTCTGCATCATAACAAATGCCTAGTGAATATTTGTTGAATAAACGAGTCAGTGAATGAATGTCCCCACCCACTAGGGAATCAGCGTTTACTCAGACCCCCAGATAGACGCAGTACTATGTGGCGTGTGCTGTAATGGAGAAACGGGCTGAGGGAACACAGAGAAGGAGCCCTGGACCCAGCCCATTGGGTCTCAGGATGGAGCAACACTTGTTCTTGAACGTACAGGGTGGATTAAACTCATCACCAGGAGAAGGAGGGGGAAGGATGCTAGGCAGAGGGAGGAGTAGGACAAGGCAGGACACAGCTGTGGGAGGAGGTGACACTGAGTGAGGGCTGGGAGGTGACCACAGTGGCTTTCAAAAAGATCCTCAGGCTGTGTGAGGAGGGAGGTGGATTGGAAGGGTAAGGCTGGAGGCAGGAAACCTTGGCCAGAGAAGAGCTGGGTGTGAACTATGGCTGAGTCACTGGGGACCAAGAGGAAACAGAGGCATCCAGATTTGGTACTGATGAGTGGGTGAGAGGCTGGGAGCTCCAGAATGACCTTCTCTCCATCTCCTTTAGATCCAGGACAACAATGACATCACATATGCAGACCTGAACCTGCCCAAGAGGAAGAAGTCGGCCCCCCGGGCCCCTGAGTCCAACAACCACACGGAGTACGCCAGCATTGAGGCCGTCCGGCCGACTGCTCCTGAGGACACCCTCACCTATGCCGACCTGGACATGGTCCACCTCAACCGGGCCCCCAAGCAGCCAGCCCCCAAGCCTGAGCCATCTCACTCGGAGTATGCCAGCGTCCAGGTCCAGAGGAAGTGAACTGGGCCTGGGTCGTCTGTGCCCATGATCCTTCCTGTCCCACGTGGGGCAGCCAGCCCAGTTCCTAAAGGGCCGGGATGGCACAGGTCTTGGGACCCAAAGATGAGGCTGGATCTTGTCTCTGCAGCCCGCTTGGCTCTCCAGCATTTCCAGGGTGGTCACAGCCCCCTACATTGCCACACATGGAGGCCAATGCTGCCAGACCAGCCGGGGAGCCCACCTGGCCAGAGCCACCAGGAGTCCAAGAACTCTGATGCCTCTCTTCATCAACCATGGTCTTGGCCATGGTCTTGGCAATTCTTGACAGCCTCCTTGATGTTCTGCAACCTGATCTTCCGAGGTGAGGAGTGAAAGAACCCCCACCTGCCCCTCCTACCACCACCACCATGCAACTGGGGCTCCAAGAAAAGTTCTGCTTAAATTAAATTGCCCCATCCATGGAGAAGCTAGAAAAAAAAAACAAAACCCTCTGGGACCACATCCTGAGACTCAGTGAGGTTGCTGTCAATAGTCCTGGCCTCCTGCATCCCTGGACTGACAAGTCACAAGCCCTGGGAGGGGAGGACACTCCAGGGAATCCTCCACTACCAAGAACTGAGTAACAAGACCCTCCTCCTCCTGCCCTCTGAGACTTCTTGAGGACCCAGCATCCTGACCTTGACACTCCATGTGGACCTGCCTCGCCTTTTAGACCTGAGCTTGCTTCCTCCAGCTAGCACTAACTCAGCAACATCTCGCTGTGGACGCCTGTAAATTATTGATAAATGTGAAACGTGCAATCTTGAAACTGAGGTGTAAGAAAATTTGATCTGTGGTGTTTTGTTTTGTTTTTTTCTTAAAACAACGGCAGCATTATCTTGGCTCTTTGTCATGTGTTGAAGTACATGGTTGGGTCTTGTGCTGTCCAAGATTTAGCAGTTGGTTTCCTGGAGGGAATATCCTGCAGTAGAAAGTGAGTCCCTCCATGTCCCAGAGCCCTGAGGATGGGAAGAAGGTTCCAGTTTGGCTGCTCCACGGAGATGCTTACCCTTCTCTCCAGGACTAAATTGGCCACGTTCTCAGCCAAGCCACGAGGCTGGTACTATTGCCTTCCTGCCCCCAGCGTGGTAAGTCTGAACCTGCCAGTGTTTCTCCAGGCTACGGTCTTGTTAAGACTAATGCCTCAATCTGCTCACCTGGAAAGGGGAGAGGAAAGATGCCTTCCTCCCCACCATTCCTCATAAGCACTTTAGGGCCATGCAGGGTAGGAAGCAGTGCCTGGGTGTTTCCCCCACCCCTTTAGCAACCTTCCCCCATTCCTGCTCTCTCAGCTGATCTCTGCAGTAGAAATCTTCCATCTCTGCTCTCAAACCCCATTGGGATCAAACTGGAATAAATCCAAGACAGACAGGCGGTCTGGGCAGCTATGAAGACAGGACTGACCCACCTTTCTGTCCCTCTGTCCCAGGAGGTTGGGCAGAAGCTGTGACCCATTGTCCTCTGACCCCCACCCTTCCAATTCAGTGCGGGAGCCTGGCTGAGCCCAGGGCAAACAGAATTTGCACGCTGTGTCTTCACGTGTAACCGCTCAGCTCTTAGAACTGAGACACTAAGCTTCGCCGCCCCCCACCCCTGCCCCCGCCTGGGTCCAGAGACTTGGTGCCTAAGGGATTGTTGCTCAGGCCACCCGGAGCGAAAGGGAAGCTGCCCCATTCTGCCTGTAAGCACAGCCTACAGGTGGAACCCCGGGAGCGCAGCACAGACCGGCTGCTGGGGGACAGGGATTTGGTGTTTTACATGACGGCATCCAGGGACGAGCTGAGCCAACAGGCCATGTGGGCAGCTTTGGCCCAACGAGCTAGAGTTTCTCTGTGGCATCTGGGAGCACAGTGTCCCAGCCACCTGCCTCGGACTATTTCCAAATTCCAAAAGGTTGGCTTTTAAACCATTGTCTCCCTGTCTTCTGCCCAGAGAGAGCACACATACACACATACACACTCACACAGAATCTTGAAAGAATGTTTTCTTGGTGCCATTTTAATTTAACTTTATTTTGAATTTTGGAAGGGGGGTGAGGGAATGAGGCCAAGGAAGCCGTGTAGTTTTAGCTCAGACTGGCAGCCTGGAGATTCTCATACCTTGTGTATCGAACCCCAGGGAAAGGAAGAGGTTGGATGACAGTGCGGAAGGAGCGTGGTTTCGAGAGTTTATTTTAAGACTGCTGGGAAGGAAACAGGCCCCGTTTTGTATATAGTTGCAACTTAAACTTTTTGGCTTGCAAAATATTTTTGTAATAAAGATTTCTGGGTAACAATGACCCCTTTGGATGTTGAGTGTCCTTGTGTCTCTGAGTGTGTCCCCCATCCCCAGGAGCCTGGGAGAGGATCACATGCGGGCCTAGGGCTTAGCAATGATCGTGGCGTTCAGTCTTCTTTCTTGGGTTTCAAATAGGCACAGAGACTTTGTTTCCCTGGCTCAGAGGGAGTCGGGGTAGGGTTGTGTCCAAGCAGAATTCCGACAGAGCTGAGTTTGAATGCGGCTCTGCCACTTCGTAGCTGCAGGAATTCAAACCAGTCACCTCTCTGAGACTCAGGCCCATCCTCAGCACCATGGGGACAATAATACCCCCAGCCAGGGTTACTGTGGGGATTAAAGGGGGTCATGGGGCGCCAAGCCCTATGCTTGGGACATGCAGTCCTTCACTAAGCAGTCCACTGGGCCCTTTCTCCCCACTAAACATTGCACATTGGGGTCTAGTCACCCCTCAGCACCTGTGGGGTCTTGGGCAAGCAGAACCTCACTTTCCTTCTCTACCGAGTACAGAAACCTAATGCTCGTCCTAAAATATCCTTGCCAGGTGGTTCATGTCCAGTGCTATATATAGTAGGTGCTCAATACATGTTAGCTCCCTTACCTCCCCTCCATTAGTATATTAATAATATTAATGGCAGTTATATAATATTTAGTGCTTACTGTGTGTTGGCACTTTTCATTGATTAGCTCTTCTAAACCTTACAACTCGAGGCAGTTAATATTACTGACCTCATTTTAAAAATAAAACACAGAGAGGTAATGTAACTTATACAGGGTCACACAGCTAATGAGTGATATAGCTGGGACTCACACTCCAGCTTTCTGACTTCAGTGCCCTTCTAACTCCTGAGCTAATATCAGTACATCACGTGTTGTTACTGACTGCGTAGTATGGTAAGTAAAATGCCAAGTGCTTTACAGTTACCAACTCATTTAATCCCCCACCACCAGGTAAGGTAGGAACTCTTGTTACCCACATTTTACAGATGAATAAAACGAGGCACAGAGAAGTTAGGTCGTTTCCCCAATGTCCCACAGCAGAGCTGGGACCATCCCAGAGCCTTTGGCCTGGCCCATGTGAGCAGGCACCCGAGGCAAAGAGCCTCCTGCGGGGCTCAAAGGTCACTTGCCTCAAAGCCAGGACCTTGGCTGTGATGGAGAGCTCAGCTCTGTGAAATCTGTGAGCTGCCTGCAGGGATGAGGTGTTAGGCCTGACTCCAGGCCGAGTGGGTGGGGAAATGCCTCCTGTTTCCTGGGAAGGTAGGGATGAAGAACTGTGTCCAGGCGCGGAGACTTGGGGAGTATTTCATGGAGCACCCGTGCCCGGCTTCTCCCCAGCGTGAATCCCCAGGGCTGCAGGCTGGCAGGTGAGATAAAAGGTGATAGGAGCCAAGTGACCCTCTCCCTACTCGCCAGGAAATCAGTCAGGAACTTGGCATTTATCAGGCACCTCCTTCGGGTTCTCCATTGCGCAAAGAATGATAAGAATCCCCCACTCCGCGAGGACCCAGAGGCTCTGCCCACTTCACGTGATAATCCTAAAAATCTCTGCCCCTCCTCAAGATTCTAACGCCCGACTGTAAAAGCCCCTGTGCCTTCTGGCATACTCCCACCAGTTAAATTTGGATCAAGTTTATTTATTTTTTACATAAGCACTTATGTACCAACAGTCTCTTAAATTCTGTACAAATATTAACTTATTTACTATCAATTCACTCTATCCTCTTAACAAACCTATAAGGCAGACACTATGATTATCCTGTTTAATAGAGAAATTAAAGCCCAGAGATATTACATACCTTGTTCAAGGGCCACCATCCAGGAAGTGGTGCAGCTGTGGGTGTGGGTGGGCACAGGATGGGCAGATAGGGGTGTAGGGGTTGCTGGAGAGACAGCAGGGCCCTCAGATAGCGCTGGGGTGCACGGAACTCTACAAGGAACCAGAAAACACACCGCCTCACCCCCAAAGATAAGAGCATCAGGGCTGTCCTGGTCACCTGCCTGACCACCAGCCAGCACATGTACCCTTGAGCCCCCCCAGCACTTAGCTTGCCACCACTAGGGTCCCCATTGTACCCATCACTTAACCATGGCACTGTGCTTGACCAGGGTGCGGATTTGTTTTCTGAATGCACAATTATGAGATTATAAGTCCTTTTGAAAATCACGTGCCCCAGATGCTCAAAAACAAGCAAAACCTTGGTGACAGATGTCAGAGGGGGGCTATCCTTGGCGGGGGCAGCAATGGAAGGAGCCGGAGGGGCCCCCTGGGCGATGGGATGTTCCATGTCTCCATCTGAGTGGTGGTTATGTGGGGGCCTTGCAGATGAAAAAGCACATTGATGCAGCCTTAACGTGTCTGCATTTCCCTGCGTGTAAGTTGTACCTCAAAGTTTCAAAGAGATTGGTGCCCTGTCCCCCTGGGGGTTCAACCCCAAACTTTGATGCCTGCCCCAGCATGACAGTTTCTTCAAGATGGTGTCAACGCTTTATCTTGGTCCCTAAGCCAGCTCAGGGAGTGCTGCTGAGTTCATTTGAAAAATAGCATCCCAGTGACCAAAATAGCACATGAAACCATGAAAGAAAAAGTGCCAAACTGGGCACGAAGACCAAGGCTGGCAAGGATAAACCGTTTCTCTGTCATCTCTTCATCTGCTGAGACCCCCTTAATTACTCCGCCCACTCATCCTCCCCCTGCGACCCCCCGCTTTACCCAGGGTCTTAGAGGCAGCTGCACACACAGTCCTCACCCTGTGACCTTGGGCAAACAGCTTCACCTCTGAGCCTTGGTGTGGTCGCCTGAGAAAGGGGACAGTAGATGGCTGCACCTCAAGGGCGTCTCACGAAGGTTAAACAGAGTCTAGACGGAAGACCCTTTGCAATAGAGTGGGGCAGGCAACAGTCAGCTCACACACATCTCCACACACTGACTCACACGCACACACATCCACTCACACGCACTCACCCCCATACTTGCATACATTCACACACAATCATACACGTAATCACACACATTCACACCCACACATTTGCACAATCACACTCACACATTCACACCTGCATACTCATACACATTCATGTGCACACACACACACACACACACATGCGCGCACCCTCAAGGCCTGGCTTGCAGAGGAGCTGAACAATGGTGGGCCTCCTCTCCTGGCTGAAATAACTGTATCAAGTCCCCCCTCCTTCACTAGCCTGGGCTCCCTCTTACCAACTTTGGAGAACACAACACTCCAGCCTGGTTTTCAGGGCCCTCTTCCTTCACCGCACTTGACCTTTTTAAAGACTCTTCCTGCTCCTCTGCAGCCGAGACTGGACTCTGGCGAGGCTAGTCTTTCTGTCCCATCAAACACCAGCTGGACCCACCTGTGACTGCCCTGGCCACACAGTGAGTCACCCCTCAGTGACTTAGTGCCCCCCTCCCAACTGGACCATGACCTCCCAACACCAGAACTTCACTTCTTACCTTTAGGATCTGCCCTGGGGAAGGGAGACTGAAGATCACCACGTGCCAGGCAGGATCCGGGCACTTGACTTCTTTATTTCACTGAACCTGTACATCCTTTGGATATTTGATGGGTGCTATGGTGTCCATTTCACAGATAAGAAAATCAGGGCTCAGAACAGTAAAGAGATAAGCTCAGGATCACTCACTGAGCCAATAATTATTTCTCAAGCTTCTACTGTGAACTTAGCCCTGTGCAAAAATTCTGAGGCTCCAGTGTTGACAAAAGATGGACCACACCCTCGTGAGCTCATGGGCTGTGAGGGAGCCAGAGCATCTGGTAATCCCAACCCGTGCACGAGTACTGCTAGGACAAGGGGTGTCAGCGTGTGATTTTCAGTAAGCTATAAAACACGATACATACAACTACAGAATGAACACATTAATGAGTGAGCCAGCAGGAGGGGGCAGCTGATTCCAAGAGTAAATGGGTATTTACAGACTTTCGAAAAAGGAATATAGAATAACATTTTTAGGCTACATATAAAGCTGGTTAATATTCTACAAGACAATAAAAATCATATCTTTGGTGTATCTTTTCTAAAGACAGAAGTCAGTTGCACCTCTCCCTGGACAAAAATGTACAGATTAGCATGTAGCTTTACGAAATCTGGGCCCTAATCAAATAGCAAGGTCAAACTCGAGTGTATTCCCATAACAGTAGCTAACCTTTTAGTGGGCCTTTTTATACAATGCCCCAGTATGGCAATAAAAGGAAATAATACCTTCTTTTGTCTTATTTCTAGATTTCAGATACTTCTTCTTATTAGGAGGAAGTCCACAGGCCTCACTCAGCCTGCATAGGGCAGGAAAGGCTTCCTGAAAAGGAAATCCTTGAGCTGAGACCTAAAGGATGTGTAGAGATGAGTCAGATAAAGAGGGTATGAAGGAGGCAGGGCCGGGCAGGAGCAGCCTTCCCGTGTGGTCTGGCCCTGCCAAGCCCCGCAGCCCCGCAGCCCCGCACGGTACTGCTCCCCTCATCCCTCCCTGCAACAGCAGTGTCCTGACAGTTCCTGAAATGAGCCACAGGGCCTTTGCATATGCTGCTTCCTCTGCCTGGAACACTTGCTGGGTCTTTCTTGCTTGTCCTCCAATCCAACCACGTTCCTTTGCTCAACACCATCATAACAACCCTGCCCAGAACTTCTCCTTCGTAACCTTTGTCACCGGTTGCAGTTATACATTGACCCTGCGAGTACGTAACATCCCTCACCACCACGCCTGGGAGCTGCCTTAGGGCAAGGTAGGTATTGCCTTTGGCATCAATGTGACTCCTGTGCCCAGCCCATAGAAGGCGTCCAACAAATATTTGTTGGCTAGATGGGAGGAGGAAGGGAGGGATGGGAGGATGGAGGATGAGAGGGTGAGTGAGTGGGGAGAGGGAGACAGATGGATGGGAGAGGGGAGAGAGGGTGAGGGCTGGATGGATAGATGCGTGGGAGAGGGGGGGTTTGGGTGGG